AGTACAGTAAAGAGGAGTTGTATGTGTTTAATAAACATCGCTACCCGCTTAACCAAATCCGAGCGTCTGTTGCTACTGTTACATATCTGTTATAACGATATTAGCCCGTAATTTCTCCATGTGACTTTCTCATGTACTTAAATTAAACCGTGCATTGTACAAGTTTAGTATTTACGGGCAAATGGACGTGTCGCCACTTTATCCTGTCACTGAAAATTTACGTTGGCTTACACTTACCAAGTTCGGGGCTATTTCAAAGCATGTATGCCAAAGATCGTGTCTTTGTTTATTAGAGTAACGTTTGTCATTATCGCAAATCTGGGCTCGTTCCGCAACCGCGCCACATGTCAACCAAATTTCGTGAGAAATTTACTCGAGTACAATTAATTTGTCGTTAAAACTAGTGGCTTTCTCACGCACATGTCGCAACTCGAGTTATTATGTGGAACTCGGCCGTGCTGTACGGTTCCTTGCTTGCCTTGTCAACTATAAAATGCTGTACAATATTCTGTCACCATCTCCCTCGCATTAGAACAGAATGAGTAAAGCCCGGTTTCTGAAACACTGATCATCGTAAAAGTTAGCTAATCAGCTGTCAAATGGCTTTTCAAATGTCATTTGAGTTGCCAAAAGGATGGTTAAATTATCTGAATTGATCATTCTCACGATTAAGTGACATGAGTGACGTGTCAGTTTCATGTTACTACGTTATGTGGCTACATCTTATGTGGCTTAGCGGACGATTTATATTTCTGACCAGATTACAAATTAAGAGAAATTATATTCAGTATTATGTGAACACAGAAACTAAGACACAAAAAACTAAGTAATAACCCTAAACGGGGAAAGTAAATACCCTTAGGAGATAATTACCGCCGTAAGTCGGTGTGTGTGTTACCTATTGTAAGGTCCCGAATCTTCGGCCAAATGCAGTCAAATGGTATAAGAACACTGAGTAAAATTCAGTTTATATTTTATTCTTACATGTATTATTTTTAACAGTATTCCGTCAGCGTAAGTGTAAGTTGACGTAGTATATTATTATGACAGTAATTATCGTGCCTGTAAATACTACAAATGGAAATTTTACATAGTTCGTGCCCTTGTATTTTGCACTATCAAGAGGCTTTGCTTTATTTCGACGTTTATTAAAATAAAAGATTATTATATATTTAAAACAATAATGATTTGTAGTACACACTCGTGATACAAATACAAAATATGTATGTAACAAATTATTGATATTCTAACGGTAGTAATAATTTTAAACGTTAGATCCTTGTCTATCATATATAGGTATATATATATATATATATATATATATATACTATATAATAAGTATTTTTGCGGAAATTTATTAAAGATGAAAAAGGCAATTACATTTCTGTGTTTCATTCCTTCCAATGCCCAGTTTAAATGTAAATGTAAATGCAATTATTTTGCCCTATTAAGTTTCTATGTGAACGAATTTCAGTGATCAGTGAAATCATAAATATTAAAGGTGTGACCAGTTCGTGATATAAAAACGTGGTGTGTATCTTGGTACGTGGCCAGCATGAAGCGCTATAGCTTTTCTGCGGGCTCGATAAAAATTTTGTAGTGTATAGCCTACGCACTAGGACCTTAACTGAATGAAACAAACTACCTAATCTGTTATTCCTAACTCATCCTTGTTATGTGACGGATACTTATTTCACAATATTAATTCTTAATTCACCAAATACTAGTGTTAGTAGTTAGTAGTTAGTGTTAGTCGGGTTTCGGCAGAACTACTCGTCATCGTCATTTCAATATGTTCGAGTCCACTTTCGAATATAAGTCTCCCCCACAGACAAGCCATTTAAAGGTTCTTAATGCGGTGAAACTTTGAAAAGTAACAGATGTATCCATTCACCTGTTTCTGTTCGTATCCATTTATCTGTTCCGGTTTAAATATTCGATCTACTATACAGATAGATTTGGTTACTGGAGATAGAATTTCGACGTAAGTATTACGGAATGTCAAATACCTATCGCTAGTAACAAAATCGAATTGGATAAAATTTGAAACCGGCCGTTAGATGGTTGAAAAAAGACGCCCGGGCATTTAATTCGCATACTAAGTAAATGGTTACTGAAGAAATGTAATGTTGTTACATTAACCATTTACTGTAACAAAACCGCTTTTCTCCGATAACTTAGCGCCCAGATGAGTCTTAACCAACACCGTTTGATTTTCAAAGGATTTTTGAAGTTAAACTTCTTTCGGCGCGTTTGGAATAATTAATTATGAGAGATAAATTATACGTTGCGCGCGCACACCGACGGCGACGTGACGAGGTTAGTTGCAAATTAATGGTATTACCATGGCAACCAATAACAACTTTTTGTCATTGGCCTAAAGGTCCTTGACCAGGCCATAAAATAAAAAAAAACTTTATGACATTTCCATAGAATTTCAAGTTTTTAAATTTTTAAAGTGCTAATCTCTGTACTTAAGAATCAACGTTAAAATTTGTAGAAAAAGTACGAAAAGATTGTCGCCGCTGTGAGAATCGAACCCACGTCTTCGGCATTCGTGGCCTGACGCTTTAGCAAACGCTACGCTAAACAGCTGATTGCCACAGTGGCAAAAATCTTAAGGCATTTTTCCTACATTGTGTTTTAGCATTTGAAGCTATGCTTGGCGCATTCATTGTTATATCCTTTCCAGCATACAAACAATTTCGCATATCATTTTACAGCGATAATTCGAACGAGAGATGTCGCCATTGCTTTTTAGAAATTTTAAATTTTTAAAGTGCTAATCTCTGCACTTAAGAATCAACAGGTTTAAGAAATTTATTAAGGAAAGGCTTTGTAAAAAGGGTTATTATAATACAAATGAATACATTAAAACAAAAACAAAAAACATTTTGACATCTATAAACAAAATAGAATGTATGTGTGTATGTATGTTCACCTTTAGGTGTTTTAACTCAAGAACCGTTAGTCCAATTGATATGAAACTCAGTACATAATATGTAGGTAAAGGGTGACAATATGACCATTTTGACGAACATAGTTACATTAGTGCCGGATAGGTGGCGCCGGTGGCAGTGATATTTATCTTTGGAACCATAGGTCGAAATCCGAATGATATCGTCAGTTGAAATATCAATTGATGTAACCGCCAAAAGGCGACTTTACAGGAGAGGCAAAAAACTAAATTACGATTCACAAAAATAGTTGAAACTTTTTGCTTACTTATCCTATCGCAACGCTGTTTGGAGCATTTTTTTCAAAATTCTGACATCTGATCCACGTAAATGTAGTGATTACATTCTCTTTCATCTGATCTCTGAAAGAAACCATAAGAAGCCTACGATTATAGTTTAGAGGATGGCACGGTGGTTACGTTAATTTTATTTTTTAAATATCACGTTACGTTAATATTTTTTGTAATAAATAATAACAGCTATAACGTAACTCACAGAGTTTTCAAGACGTCGACATAAGTTGTGATGTATTGGCTGTAGAAATTACGTACTTAATCTCTTAAAATATGGGCAAGGTTAAAATAAATTCTATATTTTTATTAATTTTACATCCATCTCATTTAAATAGGTTTTCTTAAATATCCTTCTTCTAACTCCCCCTTTTTCCATCGTATTCTCCCCAGGTGTAGTAACAGAATCTATTTTGAGTTTTGGGTTCATAACAGAGTCAAATTATAAACTGCACACTTTCTTGAGTATTAAAGCAGCATACTCTGGCCATGTGGGGTATTAAGGACTTTCTGGAGATCAAAATTAGCTATCACAGTGGAGTTGTCCTTATCTACCAGATATATACCATGCTATAAACGAAGTGAAATATATTGTGATGTATTTCACTTCGTTTATAAAATGGTTTTTAGATGATTTTTGTAATCATGGGTCTCCTTTTCATTCATAACTGCATAGAAAAATTACGGAAAAGACGTTCACTCAGATAGTCATGTGAATTGTCTTCGCAATATTATACGTAAAGACGGCACAGTTTAGTCACACTTAAAATATTGAGATAAATATGATAGTACTGGCAAATCTTCTATGTATTTCGTAGAAAAATTTTTGATATTTTCATTGTATTTATTGTCAGCATGATGAGTGCGCTATTACATTTTTACAAGATTAAATCTTACATTACCGACTTTGTTTCACATTGGGCCAAATTCATCGTTACATTAACCCATACTTTGATCATTCTCATAAACTGTATTATACATCACAAAAATGTATGAAAATTATTAAAAACAGTCGGATTTTTTTAAAAGTAATCGCCATTATTTTCATCATATCGAGATTTTAAAGATACCAATCGATGGAGCGAAAAATTTGCAGACAAACTGTATATTTAACTCAATTTCGTCATTTTGGCGGTTACATTAATTGATATTACAACTGACGATATATGGTAGCTCATTTTTCTAGGTGAAGCGAAGCGCATCGGACATAAGCTAGTTTACCTATAATTCCATGTTTTATAATTTTAAATTGCAATTAATGTCTTTGAAGAAGTATACCTTCTTGTGCGTTCCGAAAACAGTAGGTACCGAAGACAGATCTTTTAATTACATTGAATGAATAAAATGACGGCTGTATGAATATTTAATTTTTCTTTTTAGTATTGTTTTTTATGATACGAGTAAAATGGAAAGTTATTATGCGAACGTGAGAAACGTAACAATATTTGCAATATACTACTAAACAAAAACAAATTTTTCATTTAAGCATATTAACATTTAATTTTTAAATTTATAGAGTAATGGTGGCTGCTAACACAACATATTTCTACTATAGAATAATAAAGTAATGACTAGTGTGTACTCTATAATAATAATTTTCTAATCATTATAAGCTGTCGAACGTGATACCCATAATGAAAAAAAAAACTATTACCAACCGCTTCCACTATAAGCGCAAAACGTGTGAAAGTGACTGCAAAATAACTTATTACGTTATACGTCAACTCGTTACTTCGAGCCTTTTGTTAAGGCAATGCCACATAGGCGCTGGTTTGTTCATGAATGGACTGTAAATAGAAAGTATTGCGCCATGCCGCCTAGACTCGGCGCCCCTATAGTCTGTTCCCCGTCAAGGCAAACCACCGCCGACCGCCACTGCACGCCGTCCTGTCACGTTACTTTACGCAATCGGCATCACTGAGCCACGCGGCGCGCACTCAATTTGCATCTGTCACCGCAATTGTACGTAAAGTATGGACCGTTTTTTTTATTGTCTCCCCGCCGCGTGGCGACGTGTTAATACACGGTTACATTACAGATGCGATTGCTGTTCGCGGTATTTTTCGTGGCGACGCTCGCGCCATCTATCTGCCGCCCCTACGACCCGGAGGACGAAGAGTTGAAGAGCGTGCTGCCATCTAGCGGGAACTTCGAGGCTTTCTATCCGCGGCAAGCTCACGGCGTCCCGAATGGCTCGTCCAGGCCCGCCCATGGACACGGCAGTTTCTACAAGCACCGCAACCCTGCGCTGGTGGACGTCAAAAACGCCGCCGCTTACGGTTTCCGTTTCGACGGCATGAGGCGGTTCAACTTTGACGACGAATAAAACTGTCGTCGTGAACTTAAACTGTGTTTGTAATAAAAAGTTTTTGTTTATTACGCTTGCCTTTTATTGCTTTAGGATTTTGTGCGTATAACTAATTGGACATTTTTTAGTGGCCGATAAAAATAATATAAACAGGTGCATGCCATACATGCCGTGTCATAACTTCATTAAGGTAGAAACTCTAAAAAAACCACTGAGGTCCGTCAAAACAACGGTTCGCAAGTCGGAACACGACGTGAATACCTTAATTTTGTTAATGCACGCATGTCCACATGCATGACTTTAATTAGGTCTATCAAACTTGTGGAAACGTACCCTTTCCACGGTGAAGCTTTTATAGTCTACGGACTGAGCAAACCAATATATTATGAAAAAGAGAAGACCTGTACGTTTGGTAACCAACAATTTCAATAATGGCCTTTGAACGATTCACACGCAAGATCACTTTAAAATACAGGGTCGTAAATTAAACTGATACATTGTAATATTATGAGTAAAACAAGATATAAATCGTTATTTCATATTATATTAATAAGCGTAGACTTGGCATTAATTGAGCAGGCTTTAATTACGATAGAAATTAATAGACAAACATCTTTATTCAATATAGAAGCATTACACTTTCTTATTGATTGTCAAAAAAGTAAAAACAATTGCTTATCACTTAAACTTTGGTATCAAAAATCACTTCATTTCAATGTCCTTCATTTGACCCTTAAGCTTCTATGTTCTGATTTCAAAATATTCCCATTTCAAATTTATATCTCCTTTTTTTAATTAGCAAATGGTTGATAACTTGTATTTTTTATATCCGGCTCGAAGGACTATATTCGAGAGTATAATCAGGTGTTGAATAAAAAATGCTTAGAAATATGTTGACGACTTCCATTCAAATTATACACTGACGGTTAAAAGAAGGGCAATGACATATGAGTGTAAAATTTTAATTAAGACTTGCTCTGTAACAAATTTCGCAGGCGTTTATAAATAAATTAAAAGTTATTATAATTTCTGAACACACTACTACTGATTTGGCAAAAAAGCCACTGTCCTCAGAAGGATCGGCGAAAGATTCTTTTCTCTTTTTTATTGGTAGGGTCATGCAACAGTCTTCACTGTTGTACGAAAGGGCAGGTCCGTCCGGGTAAGTACCACGACCTCACAGAAGACCGTCGTAAAGTAGAAGTGTTACACTCCTGCGGTTCGTCTGGTGAGTGAGGTAGCCGGGGCCCTCTTTATTTAAAGGTGGCAACGCATTTGCAATCCTACGCCCATGGGCGGCGATTATCACTTAACATCAGGTGAATCACTGGCTCGTTTGCCACTTTGTCACATAAAAAAAAAACTGCAACTTTACGGGTGAATAATGAACAAATGGAGATGTTACAGAGGTCTATAACTGATGAGGCATATTTTGAGTGCGCTTGGGCGTACCGCCTGCTCCATTACGTGCTGACGCGTACTTACCTTATCAAAAAAACCGTTCCTTGATAAGTAGTTTTAAAACGTCTCGGGTCAAACCTATATTTATCCTATTCACGTGTTTGAATACGTATACGAATATATAAGAGATTAGAGAACATTACAAATCCACGGCAGAACTTTTTTAGGAGAACTTTTTTGTATGATTCTGTAATAAATTGGATTTTGCTCTATCTTCATCCGTGGGGATTTTACTCTAACCTCATCTTCATTAAATTTAATCCTCGCTTTCCACAGTATGTGATCTCCCTTTAACTAAAATAGGAGACAGAAAGGTGAATAACATTTCACATTCAGCTTCTGTACATTATTATAACGAAATGAGAAAAAGTACACTCGTTAAAGAAACACTTGTAAAAGGGAGCTTTTATCATGTACTTACATTATTAAATATAGGTCTTGTGGTTTGAATTAACCAGTCATAGTATTTCGAAAATAATTTTATGCACGAACATTGGAGGATAATTTTTAATTTGAAATTTAAATCACTTGGCCTTCAAACAGGCGATTATTTGTTCATGATACCAAGATACTACTAAATATTTGAAATTCTCATTCACTAATTTTTGAAGCAAAATTGTTTATATTACCTGAGAGTCTCCATCGGCCCTTTGACTAACGAAAGCGTAGAAGTTACAAAGTTGTTTTTAATAGATACCCGTAAAAAGTTCCTTAAATCTTATTTAAATTGTACTCTTAACAAACCGCATAAATTTTTTCTCGCTGAAAACTCGTTGCGGTAAATTAATTAATTTTTAAAAACCTTGAGCTGAGCTCACAGCTAATCATCCGTCATCTTAGGGCTTAGCACATTCCTAACTTTTCTAAACTTCTTAAATTTTACCGGTGTTAGGGCCATGCAGCAGCCTCGGCTGTTGCACGAATGGGCAGGTCCGTCCGGGTAAGTACCTCACAGACGACCGTCGTAAAGTTGAAGTGTTACACTCCTGCGTTTCGTCTGGTGAGTGAGGTGGCCGGAGCCCAATTTTCAAAAGGTTGTCAACGCATCTGGAACCCTCGGGTGTAGCAGATGACCGTGGGCGGCGGTATTCACTTAACATCAGGTGAACCGCCTGCTCGTTTGGCGATTTTGCACATAAAAAATAAAATAAATAAACTTTGATCAACGAGGCAGCTAGGCATATTGCAGTTTAATTTTATTTTACGTAAGTCAAACACTTTTTAGGTAAACAAAAATACTGTTGAACCAACTTAATTTAAACATCTTTGCTTAAAATTAATGGTCCTGTTAAAATAAAATTTTCAAGGCCTATCGCCATAACGCTTAAGAAATAGATTCTATTAAATTATCATATATTAATACATAACAAGAAGGATAAAAAGTTGGTGTACACAGTTATATGGCTTTCTCTCAGCGCTCGACGTCAGGTGGTCGCGGTATAAAATCCTGACAAATTGCTCAACGCTTATTTCTGGACAAGTCACCCACAACAATTTGAAATGAGTTACAGCCCCGGGTGGCTCGGTTGGGTATGCATAGCTCTTGAAAGCAATATGTGACCGTCTACTTCGTAACAGAACACAAGTTGTCAAATAGAAATAATTATGAAAACAAATAACGTTACGAATAGAACGCGCTTTTGTATGACTCCGTAATAAATTGGATTTTGCTCTACCTTCATCCGTGAGGATTTTACCTCATCTTCATTAAATTTAATCCTCGCTTTCAGTTCGTATTCTAATAAAGCTTCGTCCCTTGCTCGAATAACAGCCAGATTCTACCGTGACGTAGGGTATGGTCGGCCATTCGCTAATAATTAACAAGTCTAATTTCTATGTTTCGTGTCTTATTTCTTAGAATTCGAATCATATTCAGTTGAGCTTGCAATTAATAAAGATCTGTGGTGGCCTACTAATGGGCAAAAATTTTATCAGCTTTGTTGCAGCCTTTGGGAGGGCTTGTCCAGAGGAATAGCAAAAGAATAAATGCTTCTACTGTACGCCGGTCTTCTGAAAGTTATTGCAACACTTCTGGCGATAGACTTAATGTATTGATTATTAAAATATAAAGAGTTACGATCATAGCACAAATAATGACGTACATCATAAGCGGATAATACTTCATACTTTCAATTATTTAGTAATGCATAATATATCCTAAGTTTCTGAAAACGTTGCTCGTCGTGGTACATTGAGAAGTTTGTCGGAAATTATGGGCAAATTGTTAGATTTTCAAAGTTTTTCTCAATTTAAATGTTGAATTGTCATTTTCACAAACCTCTGGCTTTGTCGTCTGTAATCGGAGGTTGAACCTCGGCACACCGGGGTGAGTAACGAGAGACTATGTCTATTTCGCTCTGGCCACCCGAAATTAGTTTCTCACGCCCAGCGTGCGAACAAAACGGAAACGCCAGGCCGAAATGGCCGCGGACTCGGTGATATCAATCAGCGATAATTAGGCGGTCGCGCTTGAGCGGGGCTTTTTTGTGTCGCCCATTGTTGATGTTGACTCGGTGCATTTGGGATTTCACGGGCCGAGCAGCACGCCGAACGGAAGTCTGGGGCCGAAAGACTTCCACCGGCACGCTCACACGGCCCGACATCCTAAACCTTCATCCGCCTCCGAAGACCACCAATTTCCGAACACTTAGGCAGCGTAATAAAAACTGTGAAACTATCTTAAGTGGACAGTGTATATGCATTTTCCTCAGACGGCCTAAGCGACGGCGCAGCTAAGTGAGGATTGGGTGTAGATAAGTTAATAAGATTATTACGAGGCCGTGCCGCGGCGGGGACGGGTTTAGAAGGCGGCGTGTCTCTTAAAGCGCGTATAAAAAACGCCGGGTCCCTAGGGAGCGGTCATTCCGCGTTTGTACCTGGCGTGCGTGACTTCTCCGAGCCTGTCGAGTGACCAGGCCCGTTGCCAGCTCAGCACCTGCCCAGTACCAGCTCCGGTATCGCACAGGCGCGCCACCCCAATTCAGTTACCACCAAACCAGTGCGATGAGTCCGTGCAGTAACATATCGGTGAGTGGTTCTTTCACGAGGCTCTTTTTACTTTCTTTATCTGTGCGATTTTAAATCAGTTCGCGGCATTGCGGGTTTGTTGTACGACTATAGCCTATTTAATGTTACCATGTTTTCTATTCGACTCGTATACAATTTACACGAATTCAAGATATTTTATAACTTTTGTTGTGGTACATTCAAACGAGCTTAATTAGTAATGTTCAACACTACGTTAAGCTTCCTCGTACGTTAATTTGCTTTTTAAGGATATGGTAGTGGCTTTCCTAATATATGATAGTGGTATTAATTGAGAGTGATCATTACTAAAGGCAAGCTTCAAAAGCTCGCCACGGTCGACGATTATAACACAGGTAAGCATAACGCCGCAGTGTTTGGTTTACATTAATGAACGTCCATTGAGTCGATTTCAATTTATAGTATAGTGCAAGTCACTAGGGCCCCAGCCGCCGTTCCATTAACGCTTTTGTTGTGACAGCTGAAACCTATTGAGTTATTATAATGTAGTTATCGAAACATCGTACGCG